GATAGACATTTATTTAAATCTATATTGATAGACTGTATTGAAACCCAGGTAGTTTGTGCAAAACTTCATACAACGGTAGACATTGAAACCGCAAAAGATACAAACACATGCAACAGTTGTATCACAAAATCTTTTAAAAATCAAATCATACAATGTGATACACCTTTATTTCAATCTATATTGATAGCTTCAAATCTCGTGAGACTCTCGGCTATATAATGTTTAAAGCGGTTCTCATAAAATCACAGATAGTATAGCTGGCCACTCGTATTCGAGAATACCCGTCTACTAGGGTGGCTAGTCAATCCCTATTGCAGACGCTTAGTCAGGCGCATTTGTGCTTAATCAACACCCACAGACACCCACCTGTGATTTATACAGAAACTATGCTGAGTAGAACTTAGTTACGTCTTCTGGAAAAAGAGCGTGATATGTAGCGTGATCAACAAATTGAACAAGGCCAGCACGCCTCGGACACGATGACTTGTGACAACGTGCTATCGACAGGGTTCTGTCTATCCAATTTCATTCACAAGCTTAGGTCAACCCGTGATTTGGTTTTCAGGCACTTTCAAAAGGTGCCGCACACTGTGATCGACCCCTCCAGTTCGATAACATCAGGAAGTTTACTTCTTGACAAATCAGCCATGGTGAGATTCGAACCCGGCTCTCATGATCAGAATGCGAATGTTCTAACCACTCGGCCATCAATAGACTTTTATTTAAATCTATATTGATAGCCTCAACTGATGTATTGTATTGATACCCATGTAGTTTAAGCAAAACATCATACAGCATTAGACATTAAAGAGCGAAAGATACAATTACACGAAACTGTCGTATAGCCAAAATTCAAATAGTGTCATCATAAAATAGGACACACCTTTAGTTAAATCTATATTGATAACTCCAAATGTCATGATACTCTCGGCTATATAACGTTGAAATATCGGTTCTCTTACGATCACCGAAGTTAAGTAATGTCGAGCCATGCCATTACTTAGATGAGTGACCGCTTGAGAATACCAAGTCCTGTAAGTGCGCGTGTAATGAATAACGGCTTGGAAATAGAAATAGGACAAAAATTCCAATTATATTCACTTACGCACAAATAACCTAGGGTAAGGTATGAATCCAAATTCTTGCCCCCAGCTATGAGTTAAATAGTAGAATTGTATAAAAAAATTATAACAACAAAAAAAAATCATCTAAAAATATTTTCCTGGCTTTAAATAACCTACAAAAGATTGTTAAGCCGTAAAAAAACAACTCACTCTATCAAACTAATGTGGTTTATCTTTTTTCTGGGATATGTTTGTATTATGCAAAGACCAGTATATTTTACTGCAAACAGATTATTTACAAACAGAGTGCTAGAAAATGTTCATACACTTAATACACAGCTGATATGAGACCATATATATTAAGTCCATGCAACCTACTCTCTGTAAGCAGAAGGGATGATGCTTGGTCTAAGTCTAATGTCTCTTCTTGTATTATCTACGGTTTAATTAGTAGAAATCGAATCAGTAACATAATTTTAATCCTAAAAAAATATTACAATCGAAAAATATTTTCTGGCTTTGAATAATGAGCAAAAGGTTGATATGTCGTAAAAATTAAAACAAACAAATCAATCGCCATGAATATCGGACAAGTTTTGACAGTATACAGAAATAGAAAGAGTTACAATCTTTTCAAACACAAAAATACCATGTTTTATTGCATCAAATGATACAAAAGTATACACCTTTCATACAAATGATAAATTGCAATGAAATCAAAAGTTTTTTATAGTACAATTTCCCAAAATATATTTCTAATAGCATTTATATTAGCAAATGTTAGAAATCAGTAATAAGTGACGAATAGAGATAGAAAAATATAGTCCAACTCTAATTAAGACCGTCTTGATAGAATAACATAATGCGCTGTCGTGATGCCAGCACGTTAAGTAAAAGAACAATATATATATATATATATATATATATATATATATATATATATATATATGTGTGTGTGTGTGTGTGTGTGTGTGTGTGTGTGTGTGTGTGTGTGTGTGTGCGTGTGTATATATATATATATATATATATATATATATATATATATATATATATATATATATATATATATATAGATGATAGTGTGTGTGCGAGTTCCATATACTTTGAAATGAAAGAACTGTTTATTCCAAGATGTTTTGACAGACATTTCTAAGACTAAAACAGCATGCACTCGGCGGGCAGGGAAGATCTTCATACAATTATGCTAATGGCCCACGAATAATTGATTTGACGGCACGCAACTTCACTATGATAAAAGCTGTGTCGACACGTCAACTAATGTTTGAATAATCAGCGCGTTCCTTCTCATTCCACCACCTTCAACGTGTTCTTTCGTTGCATGAATCCCACTCTCTTTGTCTCTTCTCTCTTTCCCGAGCATATATATATATATATATATATATATATATATATATATATATATGTGTGTGTGTGTGTGTGTGTGTGTTTGTTGCTTCCTCTTGTGTGATATTTAGCAATCTGGTTTTGAAGCTCATTTTCTTTACGATCAAACCTTACAGGTTTCTGCTTAGATAAATTACCTATTAGTCTTAATCTAAAAGAATTTCAGGTTAGTTACTCTAGTATAAATTATAGAGAATTGCTCACCCGGATCATCGCTGTTTTATATTGCGATTGAAGATCAACAGGTTTACCAAACTTATGGCCTCGTGTAAAAAATCTGAGTAAATACAGTTCCTGGCTCGGTTCTTTGAGGAGACGTCGTTTGATAGCCATGGCTTTCTTGAAGATTGTTCTGGTAACCATTTGCTTTCAGATAAATGCTAACAAACATTAAACTGACCCTGCAAATAAAAAGACACGCTGGAATCGTTGCGTTAAAGGAGCAGTTATTTAGAGATAGCCCGCTTCATAAATGGGGCAGAGTCGAGTAGAGGAAAAGTTGTGCGAAAAGAAATAACATTCAAACACAGCTCTGTAATTTACAGATTGATTTTATTATTGAATATTTGTTTTCTTTGAAATTGAACGAATCAAATCACAAAGATCCTTGCAAAACAAACTGTCACAGAAATAATTTTCTACAACCCAATAGAAATAATTACGTTAGTCCGATTAAAAAGCTGAATATGCTTACGTTTTTGTAATTTTCCTGCAGTTTTCAAATGATAGCTGTGCTATTACTTCTAATAATTTTTTTTACATAACCCTGCTCGTATGTTTTTCGTTTTGCAAAATTTATTTTAAAATCGCGAAGCTTTTTTCGACAAGATACTCAATAAATATGGGGAGATTTACTAGACCCCCAACTGATTCAGGTTGTGACACAAGGTCAGTTTTTAACGTGGGAACCAGAGTATTTTCACTCGGGCTGCTTGTCCAAGCTAATCAGACCTGGTCTAAGCTAGTCAGAGCTTGTCCAAGCCAGTCGTAGCCGTGATAATACCAGCACAGGGACAGATCCCTGTGACCGGTAAGCACCAAGCGTGTAAACCACTCGATACTCAATAAATATATAGATATTTACTCAACCTCCCACGAGCGAGATCTGGTTGTGACACAAGGTTGGTTTAATGTGGGGAGCCCGAGCGCGTGCACCCGGGCAAGGAACAAAAATTCCCAGAGACCCAGTAACCGTTCGTTTGCGCTGGTCTCGGTGCGAGCACCGATCCCTCCCTCTGGTATAATGTGAGAGCGCGGCCTCGTGTAGCTGTTCCCCAGGGCTGAGCACCTCTTCAGTATAATTTTATCAGTTGCGCCTCTGTCCTTTGACGGAGTCGCCCCTGAGCGCACTCTTTCCAAAGACAGAGACGCAACCGTACTCAATAAATATGGATATTTTTGAGCCATTTATGAAATGAAACGCATGAATAATCAGTCTGGGCACATAAACAAACACTGGTGAAATGTTTATTGAAAACCTGAAAAGTGATTTTGTGAAATTATGCGACGGTATTTATAGAAAATAGAACGAAGCTTTACTAAACCCAGATGTTTATTGGTTAATAAATATTTTCCCAATTTTTAATTATATATTTTTTATGTTTTGGGAGAATATTGTTAATTTTCTAGAGTAATCTCTCAAATTTCGGTGCAGACATCACACGTGTGATCTTCTGTAATTTGAAGTCTTTGATGGAGTTTGAGATAACATCACTGATTGGTTAATAAATGTTAATGGGTAAATTTTAAGCCTACGTTGTGTAAAAAAATGAGTCGATTTCTGATTGAGCCGATGTTTGTACAGAATTGAGATTTTTGCGTTATTCCTTAAAACTATTGAATTTTTCTACAATTTTAACGGAGTTCTACAGTCGTTTCTTTCTCAGAGTTTTTCAAAAGAGCAAGCTACTGACGGGGATCCAAAAGACGTTGCCAAACGTAAAACATCTGTTGGTGGTCCCATATATTATTCGAAGCCGTTATGCATTACTCCACCCGCACATCCTAGCTTACAGCACCTGATCTTTTCAAGCGATTACCCATCTATGTGCTAACCAAACAAACACACACACACACACACACACACACACACACACACACACACACACACACACACATACATATATATATATATATGTGTATGTATATATATATATATATATATATATATATATATATATATATATATATATATATATTGATCAAATGAAGTAAATGGGAACGAAAAACAAAAAAAAAAAAAAAAATAAATATATATATATATATATATATATATATATATATATATATATATATATATATATATATATATATATATATATATATATATATATATATATATAGAGAGAGAGAGAAAGAAAAGACAGAGATACAGAAATGAATACACGTATATATATATATATATATATAGAGAGAGAGAGAGAGAGAAAGAGAGAGAGATACAGATAGATAGATAGATAGATAGATAGATAGATAGATAGATAGATAGAAAAGAAGCCAATCATGAAAGAAAAAAATGATGAAATAAATACACTAAAATAGATAGATAGATAGATAGATAGAAAAGAAGCCAATCATAAATGAAAAAAAGGATGAAATAAATACACTAAAATAGATAGATAGATAGATAGATAGATAGAAAAGAAGCCAATCATAAATGAAAGAAAGGATGAAATAAATACACTAAGATAGATAGATAATACAATTAAAATCTTTATCAATATTTCATACAGATTAAAAGAAGAAAAAAAAAACTACTTTGTAGCTATAGACTCAAGTATAAAACCGACCCAGAGACTCAAGAATTTTCACCCTTAATATTAACTGAAGTATAAATACATGCAATGTTTTCCTATAAAACTACTATATACACATAGTCAATGTTTATCCAACGATTCAAATATAAACTAATATTATGTACAGACTCAAATATAAGCCAGAAAAATGCCTTCCTCTATCAAGTATAAGCCCACGTGTGATTATCTTTACTCCCAAGTAAAAACGCGAACAATATTTAGTTAAAAAAAGAAAATTACTACCTATTCTTACGTATCTCAAGTATAGTCCGTCCAAATTTTACGTAAAGGCTCCGGTATGAACCCGTCCAAATTTTACGCAAATACTCAAGTTTAAATCCGTACAAGTTTACGTAAAGACTCAAGTATAAATCCATCTAAAGTTTACATAAAGGCTCAACTATAAACTCGTCTAAATTTTACGTACAAGCCCAAGTATAAACCCATCCATGTTTGGCCAAGTATAATTTATAACAAGACTTTCTTATACTTTCTAGTCTAAACCCGAGAAGGGTTTTCCTCAATGATGAACTCAAATATAAACTTGACAAATGTTTAAACAATACTGAAATATTTTAAACAGATTTTTTTAATTCGAAATTATTTCTCATTACAAAAATAATATTTTATTGACTACACTTTAAAATACCTGCTTTTATTTAATTTTTTTTTTTCAGGGAAATTAATAACAGCAGCCTAGTTCTAGAAAGATCTTGCCTCCCGGCATGAATCCAAACTGAAACTTTCCCCACACCAGGGAAAAAGTAAGTTTTACATTACTGCGAGTAGATACAGATTCGCTGAAGTACCAACGACAGATGTGTCTTCATGTAATTGGTAATTCGTATCTTGCCAGACATTAGCAGTTTGAAAATCAAGCAAGGGCAGACAATCTGTATAATAATTAGAAACAGACTGATAATGTGTCTACGGAAGGGAATAAACGAAAGAAGGGAGAACATAATTATAATGAATATACAAATAATGAGAGCAAGAAGAAAGATTAGAAGAAAACGATGATGAACACAAGTAATAGTATTAGTAGTAGAATTATTAGTATTAGTACTAGTAGTAGTAGTAGTAGTAGTAGTAGCAAGAAGAGGGAGAAGTTGAAATGATGAAAATGAAGAAGAAAAATCGAAATGAAGGAATACGAAGAAGAATGAAAGAAAGTTAAGAATAACAAAACGTGAAAGAAAAAAGAGAATAGAAGATGGAAAAATAGAAATAAATTTAAATAGCGATTGTAATGGAGGAACATGAAAAGTAGTAGAAAATGACAAGCCTGAAGAAGAAGAAGAAGAAGAAGGATGAGTAAGAGGTGGTGGTTTTAGTGGAGAAGAAGAAGAAGAAGAAGAAGAAGAAGAAGAAGAAGAAGAAGAAGAAGAGGGAGAAGGAGGTGAACGAGAAGAAGAAGGCGGAGGAGGACAATGGTGAGGAGGAGGAAGAGAAGATAGATTTGGTGGAGGAGGAGGTGGAGAAGTAGAAGAAGATGAAGAAGAAGAAGAGGGAGAACGAGGTGAACGATAAGAAGAACAAGAAGAACAAGAACACGAACAAGAAGACGGCGGAGGGGGAGGAGGAGGTGGTGGAGGAGAAACAGAAGATGGTAATGAAAATGGCGGATGTAAAAATAGCCATAACAGAAAATGATGCAGGCAAAGAACGAACATCAGGAACATGGGAATGAAAATGGCGGATGTAAAAATAGCCATGATAAAAATGAGTCAAGCAAAGAACGAACATCAGGAACATGGTAATGAAAATGACGGATGTAAAAATAGCATGATAGAAAAATGAGGCAAGCAAAGAACAAACATCAGGAACATGGTAATGAAAATGGCGGATGTAAAAATAGCCATGATAGAAAATGAGGCAAGCAAAGAACAAACATCAGGAACATGGTAATGAAAATGGCGGATGTAAAAAATAGCCATGATAGAAAATGAGGCAGGCAAAGAACAAACATCAGGAACATGGTAATGAAAATGGCGGATGTAAAAATAGCCATAATACAAAATGAGTCAAGCAAAAGAACGAACATCAGGAACATGGTAATGAAAATGGCGGATGTAAAAAAATAGCCATGATAGAAAATGCAAAGAACAAACATCAGGAACATGGTAATGAAAATGACGGATGTAAAAAAATGATAGAAAATGAGGCAAGCAAAAGAACAAACATCAGGAACATGGTAATGAAAATGACGGATGTAAAAATAGCCATGATAGAAAATGAGTCAAGCAAAGAACGAACATCAGGAACATGGTAATGAAAATGACGGATAAAAAAAATAGCCATGATAGAAAATGAGGCAAGCAAAAGAACAAACATCAGGAACATGGTAATGAAAATGGCGGATGTAAAAAATAGCCATGATGAAGAAAATGATAGCAAAGAACAAACATCAGGAACATGGTAATGAAAATGGCGGATGTCAAGCAAAAAAAATAGCCATAATAGAAAATGAGTCAAACAAAGAACAAACATCAGGAACATGGTAATGAAAATGGCGGATGTAAAATAGCCATGATAGAAAATGAGGCAAACAAAAAGAACAAACATCAGGAACATGGTAATGAAAATGACGGATGTAAAAATAGCCATGATAGAAAATGAGGCAAGCAAAGAACAAACATCAGGAACATGGTAATGAAAATGGCGGATGTAAAAATAGCCATGATAGAAAATGAGGCAGGCAAAGAACAAACATCAGGAACATGGTAATGAAAATGGCGGATGTAAAAATAGCCATAATAGAAAATGAGTCAAGCAAAGAACGAACATCAGGAACATGGTAATGAAAATGACGGATGTAAAAATAGCCATGATAGAAAATGAGGCAAGCAAAGAACAAACATCAGGAACATGGTAATGAAAATGGCGGATGTAAAAATAGCCATGATAGAAAATGAGTCAAGCAAAGAACGAACATCAGGAACATGGTAATGAAAATGGCGGATGTAAAAATAGCCATGATAGAAAATGAGGCAAGCAAAGAACAAACATCAGGAACATGGTAATGAAAATGACGGATGTAAAAATAGCCATGATAGAAAATGAGGCAAGCAAAGAACAAACATCAGGAACATGGTAATGAAAATGGCGGATGTAAAAATAGCCATGATAGAAAATGATGGCAAAGAACAAACATCAGGAACATGGTAATGAAAATGGCGGATGTAAAAAATAGCCATAATAGAAAATGAGTCAAGCAAAAGAACAAACATCAGGAACATGGTAATGAAAATGGCGGATGTAAAAATAGCCATGATAGAAAATGAGGCAAGCAAAGAACAAACATCAGGAACATGGTAATGAAAATGACGGATGTAAAAATAGCCATGATAGAAAATGAGGCAAGCAAAGAACAAACATCAGGAACATGGTAATGAAAATGGCGGATGTAAAAATAGCCATGATAGAAAATGAGGCAGGCAAAGAACAAACATCAGGAACATGGTAATGAAAATGGCGGATGTAAAAATAGCCATAATAGAAAATGAGCCAAAGAACGAACATCAGGAACATGGTAATGAAAATGACGGATGTAAAAATAGCCATGATAGAAAATGAGGCAAGCAAAGAACAAACATCAGGAACATGGTAATGAAAATGACGGATGTAAAAATAGCCATGATAGAAAATGAGTCAAGCAAAGAACGAACATCAGGAACATGGTAATGAAAATGACGGATGTAAAAATAGCCATGATAGAAAATGAGGCAAGCAAAGAACAAACATCAGGAACATGGTAATGAAAATGGCGGATGTAAAAATAGCCATGATAGAAAATGAGGCAGGCAAAGAACAAACATCAGGAACATGGTAATGAAAATGGCGGATGTAAAAAATAGCCATAATAAAAATGAGTCAAGCAAAGAAAACATCAGAACATGGTAATGAAAATGGCGGATGTAAAATAGCCATGATAGAAAAAGGCAAACAAAGAACAAACATCAGGAACATGGTAAGGAAAATGACGGATGTAAAAATAGCCATGATAGAAAATGAGGCAAGCAAAGAACAAACATCAGGAACATGGTAATGAAAATGGCGGATGTAAAAATAGCCATGATAGAAAATGAGGCAGGCAAAGAACAAACATCAGGAACATGGTAATGAAAATGGCGGATGTAAAAATAGCCATAATAGAAAATGATGCAAGCAAAGAACAAACATCAGGAACATGGTAATGAAAATGACGGATGTAAAATAGCCATGATAGAAAATGAGGCAAGCAAAGAACAAACATCAGGAACATGGTAATGAAAATGGCGGATGTAAAAATAGCCATGATAGAAAATAGCAAAAGAACAAACATCAGAAACATGGTAATGAAAAATGGCGGATGTAAAAATAGCCATGATAGAAAATGAGGCAAGCAAAGAACAAACATCAGGAACATGGTAATGAAAATGGCGGATGTAAAAAAATAGCCATGATAGAAAATGAGGCGGCAAAAGAACAAACATCAGGAACATGGTAATGAAAATGGCGGATGTAAAAATAGCCATAATAGAAAATGAGTCAAAAAGAACGAACATCAGGAACATGGTAATGAAAATGGCGGATGTAAAATAGCCATGATAGAAAAATGAGGCAAGCAAAGAACAAACATCAGGAACTATGAAAATGACGGATGTAAAAATAGCCATGATAGAAAATGAGGCAAGCAAAGAACAAACATCAGGAACATGGTAATAAAATAGCCATGATAGAAAATGAGGCAGGCAAAAGAACAAACATCAGGAACATGGTAATGAAAATGGCGGATGTAAAAATAGCCATAATAGAAAATGAGTCAACAAAGAACGAACATCAGGAACATGGTAATGAAAATGACGGATGTAAAAATAGCCATGATAGAAAATGAGGCAAACAAAGAACAAACATCAGGAACATGGTAATGAAAATGGCGGATGTAAAAATAGCCATGATAGAAAATGATGCAGGCAAAGAACAAACATCAGGAACATGGTAATGAAAATGGCGGATGTAAAAATAGCCATGATAGAAAATGAGGCGAGCAAAGAACAAACATCAGGAACATGGTAATGAAAATGGCGGATGTAAAAATAGCCATGATAGAAAATGAGGGCAAAGAACAAACATCAGGAACATGGTAATGAAAATGGCGGATGTAAAAATAGCCATGATAGAAAATGAGGCAGGCAAAGAACAAACATCAGGAACATGGTAATGAAAATGGCGGATGTAAAAATAGCCATAATAGAAAATGAGTCAAGCAAAAGAACGAACATCAGGAACATGGTAATGAAAATGGCGGATGTAAAAAATAATGATAGAAAATGAGGCAAGCAAAGAACAAACATGGAACATGGTAATGAAAATGGCGGATGTAAAAATAGCCATGATAGAAAATGAGGCAGGCAAAGAACAAACATCAGAAACATGGTAATGAAAATGGCGGATGTAAAAATAGCCATAATAGAAAATGAGTCAAGCAAAGAACGAACATCAGGAACATGGTAATGAAAATGACGGATGTAAAAATAGCCATGATAGAAAATGAGGCAAGCAAAGAACAAACATCAGGAACATGGTAATGAAAATGGCGGATGTAAAAATAGCCATGATAGAAAATGATGCAGGCAAAGAACAAATATCAGGAACATGGTAATGAAAAACGTAAAATGAGGGATTTGACAAATTTAAATAAGGACATATGATACGTTTGAATTAGAACAATGAAAAGTATAGATGAAGAAAAGTAACGAACAGCGAAAAGGTAACAGGATAATATAATAAAAGACTGGTTGAATGATTTGTTTTTTAGTTTATATCAACCTTTTGCAGATTATAAAAATCCAGAAAATATTTAAAAATTGTGAAAATCTTTTGATAATAGTAATGACTTACTGATACAGTTACTACTAATCGGCCCATAGCTGGGTCAGTTCATACTTTCACAATGGTTTTGGCGCGTAAGTGAATTGGAACCCGATTAGAGAATGTTTCACAGCTTTCCAAATTCCAATTCCAATGGAACATCCGTCCTTACAGCATCTTGAATTACCAAGTGGTCACTCATTTAGGTATTGACCAGGTTCGACGTTGCTTTACTTCGGTGATAGTACGGCAAACGGTATTTTGTTTTATGTTATATGGCCGCCAGTCCGAATGAAGAAGAAGAAGAAGAAGAAGAAGAAGAAGAAGAAGAAGAAGGAGATGAATGAAGAAGAAAGAAGAAATTATGAAAGGATAAAAGGTAAGAAAAACAGTGGCAAAATGAGAAAGGTGAAAAATAATGGCAGTAACTAAATAAGAAAAAGAAGAAATAACAGAAGAAAAGAATGAGATAAAGAAGAAGAAGAAGAAGAAGAAGAAGAAGAAGAAGAAGAAGAATTCAAACCTACTTTTGAAATTAATTAAGTTTATGGCCGTGAAAGAACATTCCCGTATTCTATACTGAATATAATATCAAGGTATGCCGAGACAACTGAGACAAAAAAAAAAATAAAAGGTCGAAAGAAATCATTCATTTACAACCAGCAAATCTTTTGGGAATTCAATAAAAATGGTGCGATTAATATTTTGGCCGAAAGTAGATTGAACTAAAGCCACAAATCTTCCAGAAGTTAAGTGGGTCTCGGCTGAAGGTTTCTTGAAGATCGTCTTTTATTTCAGCACCAGATAAGTAAGGACAATT